GGCCAGCACAGTTCAAGAGCATCAGGATGCTTGCTATTACATCGATTAACATGTTGGGAAATCTTCCTGTGATGCATTGCTCTGCCAGTAGGCTGTACACATGCCTGGATTTTTGTTTGGTTTTCTCTCACTACTCATTTTTTGGAGCTTGTCAGAATTATGCGATTTTTGATCAAAATAAATCTTTCATAGTAATGTTTTGTTGCAAAAAAACCCTACTAATACTAATGTGAAATGAGCCAGAAAGTGTCAGGATTACTGAATCCTTTGACCCTCTGACCTCCTCTGCGATGTGAAGCTTTATCCTCATAGAACATAATGGCCATTTTGAGAAACAAGTCGACCCTTTCTTATTAAGCTCTTGCAGCCTTTTTCTCGGCATTTAATAGGAAAAAAGCTCTGACTGTGTGTAGAGAAGTTGCAGAATGAAAGCAAATGTGATCCATGATCATATATTTCTACTTGGGGTATGGGGAGTGGGGTAGAAATATGAGATTAAAAGCACACAGAAAGGCAGAGTCTTGCAAGGTAGGGAAGTAAAATCTACTTCCTTAGCTGCACAATGTGGAAAGTACAGTTTATGAAATTAAAAAATATGAACATATAGTACAGTTTGTAGTGGATTCTGGAAGCTTTAGGATGCAGATTTAGATATTCTTTTTAAGGTAAAAGTCTTGGATTAAACTCTCCTGCCAGTGACAGCTTTTAAAAGAAATTCTGATTATTATTTTTTTTAAACCAATGTAAGGGGCCTGTGGTAAGTAGATTTTTAATTTTGCTACCTCAGTTAAAGGTGTTAAAGGTAGAAGAAAATAATCTGTGTTTCTTAATTTAAAGCATAGTATCTTTGCTCTGTCATTTATCATTAGTTACTGTGTCTGAAAGGTCCTGAAGGTGATTTTTTGGTTTGTTGGTTGGTCTAGTTTTGTTGTTTTTTTCTGAAATGGTTTATTTATGTTTGATCTTTGTGTCCTTTTTTTTTTTTTTTGGTGTGAATAGAGATTGGTAGTCAGTCATCCTGATTCCCTTTCTTGTATCATAAATACTCATGTAAAACTTTTGCCTTTTAGTGTAGCAGATGACACATTATTTGAAGGAAACATTTGGAGAAATGAACAAGTGAATTGTGTCCCAAGTGTCATCTCTATACCATAGAAGTAAATATGTAGCTCTTGCTTTGTTTCTAAGATATTTTTTTCCCCAAACTGATCTTTTCAGCTCACTTAAAACTTTGGAATTAGACATTTCATATAGTATTTCCAAAATTTCACAAACACTCTTTACCATCTGAGGATACTGGGACAGCTGAGAGAATTGTTGAGCCCAAGGAAGATGTAACTGCACTATGAGTGTGTAGGCATTATTATTCCTGCACCTTTAGTTTCTTCTGAGGTGCATAAAGAATAAGAATGATAATTCGACAGGAGGCATATATGGAAGAAAGAAAATATTATATCCTCCAGATGGGAATGAATACGAGTGGTATACAACACCAAAGGACCATTATATGAGTAATATGTGTGGAGAGAAAGAATGTTATAGACTATAAGTTATATAGTTACGTAGTTATATAGACTATATATAACTGTATATAACATATGTTATATATATATTTATATATATGTTATACATATACACATACATATGTTATATATAATGTCCACAGCCTTTCCTTCATCGACCAGGCAGGTCACCTTGTTATAGAACGAGATCAGGTTGGTCAAGCAGGACCTGCCCTTAATGAACCCATGCTGACTGGGCCTGATCTCTCCGTTTTCCTGCACATCTTTTGTGTTCCCATTTAAGATGATCTGCTCTATGACCTTCCCCAGCACTGAGGTCAGTCTGACAGGCTGTAGTTTCCAGGGTCTTTCTTCCTGCTCTTTTTTGTAGAGAGACACCACACTGGTGAACCTCCAGTCCCCTGGGACCTGCTCACTAGACCAGGACTGTTAACAGATGACAGAGAGTGGATTAGGAAGCTCCTCTGCCATCTCCTTTAGCACTCTTGAGTGTAACCCATCTAGCCCCATAGACCTGTATATGTCTAAGTGAAGCAGGAGATCGCTAAACATTTCTTTCTATATTATGGGGACTTCAATCAGCTCCTCATCTCTGCCATCCAGGTCAGGAAACTGAGTACCCTGAGGATGACTGGTGTGACTATTAAAGACTGAGGCAAAGGCAGCATTAAGTCCATCAGCCTTTTCCTCATCCTCAATCACTAGGTTTCCCCCAGTATTCAGCTAAGTATGGAGCTTCTCTTTGGCCCTCCTTTTATTGCTAATATATTTGAAAAAATACTTTTTATTATCTTTTATGGAACCAGTCATTAAAAGTGAGCTTCTTGTCTCCTAGGCAAGTCCAGACTTGCCATTCAGGATCGAGATTCTAGGACACTACAATTTCCCCATGCTCTGGTGCTGAAGGTGTCCTCTCTGGAGCTACTCACCTCAGCAAAATCATGTATGAGTTGTCAAAACATAACTGTGCATAAAAGAAAACAATGGAGAAAGTCTAGAGTGACTTTAATGTCCATGCAACCTGAGATGTATGATTTGCTTCATTACTACTCATGATGGTTCACAGCAGTGGACTTAATGAGAATGTAATACAGAAAATTTATAATAGTGATTTTTTCCCTTGTATCTGCTGCAGCTTAAAACATGTTTTTTGTTCCATTTATCCTATCTTGGACCCACTCGATGTTTCCACAAAATAAAGGAAATTATGTAGAACATGAGAGGAAGATACAGAAGCTGTATGTTATCAGAAATAAAGACACAAGAATACAGAACTTGAGGATTCTCAGCTGCAGAACATTACAGTCAGGTGCTGTAGCTTTGCATGTTTCCAAATAGTACTTATATTGAAAAATACTAACATTCCACCACAACCATCAGGAAAGGACAAATAACAACAAAAGTAGAAGAGGTTCCTCCTTGCAAATACCAACCACTAAAAGAGGAACTGTCTTCAAATCAATTCACGGGGCTCTTGATCCTCTACCACTGTAAACATTTTTTTACAAGGTCAAGCTAATTAATATTTCCCTCTGTTTTGGGATCATTTTTATCCAGTTTGGATCTCTGGTTTAGTATCTATAAAGTGAGAGAGCCAAAAATACAGAATGAGCCACATTTTGTCAAGCTCTCAGTTAAGTATTATACACAGTGCATATATGTTCATAACAGAATTATTCACGTTTGGAAGATCAATTCTCCACAGTAATTCTGTCATTAGACACAGCCAAAGACAAATCATGTGTTTATGGTTTCTGTAATCACGTCTAGTTTTTCACTCCAGAACCAAAAAGGAAACATTGTCAGTGCTGTAGTTTCACTCTTTCAACTCAGAGATACAGAAGCATAAGCAATCCTGATACAGTGCAGGAAGAGAGGAGAGGTGGAGAAAGGGGTTGACTAGTAACATGACAAACGTGTTTCACCAAAAGGAATAGCTGGAGCTCATGCAGTATAGGAGGATACCGGAACTGTAACAGAGATTGTGAAAGAGAAACTTAGGCTACCTTCTAAGAGAACAGAGAGAATTTCTGAGCACTGAAATAGGCTTCTTGAAACTGAAATACTAAACAATTTTTAGCATCGGTTATATTCAAACCTGTTCAGAATGCACAGATTAAGTCCTGAAGTTGCACAATGTGCTTGAATGTAACAAAATCGTCCATTAAATTTAAAAATTAAACACATTTTGGTTTGCAATTTGAATTTCTGTTACTCACTTTTTCAGCACCAGTGATCCTAAGGATTTGAGACTGTTTATCACTTATTTTCATTCTTGCTAAACACCATAGCTTCTCGGGCTCCCATCCAGTATACTCATTTTTATATATATTTCTCTGGAAGTTCTTGCATTACAAGACTGCAGCTTCCTCTGACACAACACTTCGTGCAGCAAGGGTGCAGCTATAGCTCACTGTCATGGTTAGCCATGAAGTCTCTCTCTCACTGCCCTCCTTCTCCCCCCCTGCTCCTGAAGGGATGGGGAGGAGAATCGAAAGAATGTAACTCCCACTGTTTGAGATAAGAACAGTCCAGTAACTAAGGTATAACACAAACCACTACTGCTACCACCAATAATAACAATGACAAGGGAAGTTGTTAACAAGGGAAGAGAATAAAATCGTTCACCACCCCCAACAGATACCCAGCCTGACCGAGCAGTGATCTAATCCTTCCGGGTAACTGTCCCCAGTTTATATACCGGGCATGACGTGCTGTGGTACAGAATACCTCTTTGGCTAGTTTGGGTCAGGTGTCCTGTCTCTGTCTCCTTCTGGCTTCCTCTCATCCTGGCAGAGCATGAGACTCAGAAAGTCCTTGGTCAGAGTAAACATTACTGAGCAGCAACTAAAAACATGGGTGCTATCAGCACAGTTCCCAGGCTGAAAGTCAAAACCAGAGCACTGCATCAGCTACTAAGAAGGAGAAAAGTGACTGCTAGTGTTGAACCCAGGACAGTATCCCCCCTTATTCCATACCATTCATGTCATGCTCAGATAACACATTTTCAATATACCATCACTCAGAGAGAGAGAGATCATTCCTTAGTGCATGGGCCAAACCCCAAAAAGCTGCAGTGTTCATCCAGTCCATGATGTCAGGCTCCATCTCTTGTAACAGTCTTTTGCAGCAGGAGAGAGAGTGTGATGTAGTCGATCTGCCAGGCCTCCCTATATTTCTGCTTCAGCCATCGTCTTCCATAACAGAGAGGCTTTCACCGCTTGGCTTGATTAACTGCGTCACATGTTTCACACTTGTGAATAACTTGGGCAATAGTGTCCATTGCTAAATCCACCCCTCAATCATGAATCCATCTCTGTGTTGCATCTCTGCCCTGATGGCCTGAGGTGCCATGGGCCCACCAGGCTCAAAATAATTCACCCTCTCCTTCAGCAGTTTCTGCAGCTTGTAGCTAGGGACTCCATACACCTGCCTTCCATCTCCGATGCTCCAAAGAGGTGGAGGGGCCCAGTGGACTAAATACTTGCTCATACTGTCCCACACACCCTGCCACTCATGACTGTCCAGCCTCGTGGAAAATCTCTTGGTCCTCCTATATCGTTGTCTAATCCTAGACAAGACCCAAACACGACTCTGCTTAACTTTTGAGATCAGACAAAATGGTGGTGGGTAAAACACACTCTGTATGCCTTCCAGCATGCTGATTCCCATCACAATCAGCAGGCAGGTCTCAAGGGTACCTAAAGGCCATTCACAACCTTCAGAACTCTCAAGTGATGCTGCTGTACTTGTCACTGGGGCTGGTGTAGCTGCTGTGTTGGAGCTGGAGTAGCTGTGCTGTCTGCTGCAGTCGGACTTTCAGTAGCTGCTGTACTTGTTGCTGGGGTTAGTGTAGATGCTCTGCTTGGGGTTGGAGTAGCTGTGTTATCTGTTGCAGTCAGATTTTGAGTAGCTGCTGTACTTGTCACTAGGGTGTGTGGGAATGTCTCCCCCATAGGCTGACCACCCGAGGAGGGGAAAAAAGACGTGTAATTGCTATACACTCCTATTATATATGCCTCCCAAAGTATAGAGATGGTGACCACACTGGGGACACAAGCCAGATCAGTTTCATGATCAATGAGCCAATTGTATTACAAGTCATTACCATAAAGTACAATGAAACAAGAACCTTAGCCCAAGGTCCCCAGCTGATGAACACTAACACAGCAAGTACCAGCTGTAAGTATGACATGCTGAGATCAAGAAGAACAACTTTGAGAGCCAATAAATCAGCATTGTGACGAGTGACTATTAATCCGAAACAATGAACGCTTATCACACATACGATTAGACACACTCCAGTCAGATCTGTTGTTATCTCAACCCTTCATGCCCCACGTTGGACGCCCAAAAGAGCTGTCATGGTTTAAACTCAGTCAACCATGCAGTCTCTCTCTCACTCCCCCTCTTCCCCCCCCTGCTCCTGGAGGAATAGGGAGGAGAATCGAAAGAATATAACTCTCACGGGTTGAGATAAGTACAGCCCAGTAACTAAGGTGTAACAAAAATCACTGCTGCTACCACCAATAATAATAATGATAAGGGAACCTGCTAACAAGGGAAGAGAATACAGCCACTCCCCACCTGCCAACTGATACCCAGCCCAATCAAGCAGTGAACTAATCCTTCTGGCTAACTTCCCCCAGTTTATATACCGGGCATGATGTTTTGTGGTATGGAATACCTCTTTGGCTAGTTTGGGTCAGGTGTCCTGTCTCTCCTTCCTCCTGGCTTCCTCTCCTCCCTGGCAGAGCATGAGACTCAGAAAGTCCTTGGTCAGAGTAAACTTTATTGAGCAGCAACTAAAAACATGGGTGTTATCAATGCAGTTCCCAGGCTGAAAGTCAAAACCACAGCACTGCACCAGCTACTAAGAAGGAGAAAAATGACTGTTACTGCTGAACCCAGGACAATATCCCTTGCCACAGAGGCCTTTGCCTTGACCCTTTCTTTTGATTTGGTTCTGATTACTGTGGTCAAACTAGGGCTATATACTGAGAATTGCTGTGTGAGTGGGATACAGACACTAAGAGAACATAGCTAAGATAAAGACTAGAATACATTTTTGGCTGCAGTGGCACCCTAAGTACTCTTAAACACAGATATGCATGTATAATGTGTTCTTATAGAGGGCATTTGTGTTTTCAGTTATTCTTCACTATATTTGAGTTTCTCAGACACAAATAACTGATGCTGAGAGTCACTGAAACAATAGAGAAGAAAGGCACTGCATTGAGTCTTAAAATAGCATTTCTCTAGTTCTTAGACTATTCTTAAATGTCTGAGAATAGATTTCTTTTGTGACCATAACAAAGTCTTGTGTCCTAATTCTTCATTTCAGAAATGAAATAATATTAAAATTATCTACAGAGTTCAATCCCACAAATGTTGTGTTTATAAAATCCATGTTTTTTTGTGAAATATTTCAATCCTCATGTAGTGAAGTTTGTAAGGCTATTTAGAAAGGTTAGAAAATCTGAATTCTATGAGATGTCTTCAAGAAAGCAAGGTTATTAAGACGTAATTTGGGGACCTGAGAAACTGTTTTAAGGGTGCCCAACGTCAGCCACATTCTTAATACATGGGGTAACTTGGCTAAGTGTGGCAACCTGTTGAAGGAGTGTTCTTACTGTGTTGAACATAATAGGAAGTAATTATTTTGCATGGATTTGCAGGTTAGGGAAACTGAGCTTTTCTAAGTAGCCCCTCATATTTACAAGGCTACAAGGATTTAGACCTGACACTTACCTGTAAGCAGAGTTCAAGAATCTGGGGAGAATGAACTAGTTTGGAGATGCTGATATATATCCTGTTTTGATGTGGGGTGGGATTCTAACCTCCCTGAAATAAGTTGATTTACTTTGAGAAATTACAGTTGATCTTTCATTTTCCATCTTATTCCATAGAGGTTCAAAATATCAAGGTAGTGGTAAGAATTATCTTGGTCTGATTTCCTTTTTCTGAAATAAAAACAGCTTATTCAAAGCATCCAATAATATAGTTGGCTTTTGTTAGTAATGTGAACAAGCGGAATTTGTGTGCACAAGGAATATCTACAAATCCATTTTTATTTTTAAGAATATTCTTAATGGTTTGCTAAGTTCATGCTAAAAACTGTAGTTTACAGACTGCAGTTTCTCAAATGCCAATGACAGGAAGGGCAATTTGCAATTGAAATTTACTATTGTAAAAAGTTATTAATCTTTTAAGTACCTCAACATGTTTGAAGGTTACTGCATTTGAGGAGTTCTGTTATTTAAAGTTACTTCAGAACATTAAAAAGAAGGAAGTGTTATTGTTATTAGTTCTGATCTTGTACATGAAATACTCTACAACCTTTAAATGCTAAAGAAATTAAACTAGTCAGAAATGTAAACTAAATGATGATTGAAAGAAATTCAACATCATAATAAACTCTGGCATGTATTTAATAAAAATCTTCAATATTATGGGTTTCAGAGTGTTATAGTGATATCTGATACTGTGAGATATTATCTGCTGTGTCCATGAAGACCTCAGTGGTTTAACCTGCCTTTACAATTTCTAAAATGAAACTCTTAAATTTCAGTTATTACTCTGTTTAGGTTTAGTTAGTTTTAAAACATGCAAAAGAAAAGTTTAAAATACTTCTTTATGTGGTTTTAAGGCTATAGTGATTTTTTATTTTTTTTCCACAACAAAGGAAAGCTAAAATGGACTACAACAAATGAAGAGCCAAGGCTGTATCTCCTGCATTGTATGAAAAAATATTTAGATGTGTAGTAGAAAGAAGCACATGACTTCTTATTACCACTGCAGCTTATTTACAATGGAAATGGATTGCATGCCCTGCAAAAGAGTCCTTCTTCTGAGATTTTGATGAGCAGGAATGATTTGCTTTGCCTGGGATATTTAAAGTGGATAAAGTGTATTAAAAATCATTCTTTGGTTACAAATTAGTTTGCAGTAGTTGCCCTTCCTATCACTGGCACTTGACTGTGGTGAGTAAATGTGTCTTATAAATTACAAACTCTATCCTTCACTGAGGGACTCACACCTGGAGAAAGTCTGGTGATTTCTCAGTACTTATAGACACAGAGCCTAAATTTCATCTGCAGTAGCATTTAGTTCACTTGGTCCAGCGCCCAGCAGAGCAGTGCAATGGGGCCAGGCTGTACCATAGTTAGTTATTTAACCAATTAATGAAATATCAACTGTCATATACTAATGATTAAGAGAAATTCACCAAGAGGAGCTCTGAAATTCCTTTGTATATTACAATGGTGACTCACTGAGGAGTGAGTGCTAGAGCCCCAGAATGAAGAGGCCTTTTAACATCCTTTTGTAGTGGTATGTCTTTCTCACTCTCTCCTGGACCAGTCTGCTTCCCCAAGAATTCCTGTTAGCCTATGCATAAATGCAGAGTTGGATGGCTGGACACCCCCTTACCATTAATTAGAATTGCCTAAAAAAGGAGGGGGGGGGCCACCCACATAACAGGAAGGCCTGGATATTCCCGTATTATATCAGGGGTTCTTTTGAGATGGTAAATCATCCCCAACAAAGATATGATACCAGCATGAAAATTTACACTGGCTAAAGCCCTGTAAACAGTGTCCCGAGAGAGAGTCCCTTTGAGAAATCCTGGGCTGCAGCAGCTGCAACCCAGTTATCTCCTTCTGAGTAAGATGCCTTTCAAAATCTGGAAACTCCAAAGTTTATGAAAAAGGAGAATCATCTGCCTGTGCTGTTACTATTGCTCACTGACCCTCAACCCTTCACTGCTAGGAATGCTGAGAAAGATGACATGAGTATATTATAAGTAATATAACTTTTCAGTGCACGAGGTAAATTTTTAACATACATATGTGAATAAATGCATATACATCTATATATTTCCATCTTAGTGTGTTGTGTTTAGATACTTGCATGCAATGCATGTATATTATCTTCAATAATCAAGTTGTTTTAGGAATCTTGTGATTCATTTTAATTCCTTTACCTCAATTTCCTTTTAAATTCCACTAGACACAAGCTGTTGTCCAAGTCTGAGACTAGGACTAGATCCAACCACACCTAAGCTCTGCCAGGAGTTTAGGAAGCAAGGGGGTCTAACCTGAAACTCATAACTCAATGAAGGGGTGTCCCTTATCCCCTTATATCTTTGGTTTCTGTACACATTATTTCAATTCAACTCTGTATAAATCGCTTTAATCCAATCCTGTATAAACAATTGCCAGTTCAGACACAATCTGGTTTTGTATGTAGTATAGTGAACCTTGCCATCAAATTCTGTGAAAACATACATTTATAGATTTCTCTTAGAACTATTTCTTTAATATATCTGATGGTGATTCTTTTAGCAATCCTAAACACTCAGTTTCACTACAACTTTACACAAGATTTGAACACAAGAGTGACAAATTCCTGTAGATTAACTGCAAAAAAAAAAAAAATTCAGAAAAAACTAAAGGAGGTATAAAACTAAGAGATTAATTTATCTGGAAAGACAAGTCAGATCTGGAGAGGTGGAGTCTCCAAATGAGTACAAAGTAGGCCTACTCTTCTGGTTTCATTATCATCCCTTTCTTGGCAGAAAAAAAATAGCTGGCTTGAAGCACTTGATAATAGCTTAAAAATATTTGAAGGGCAGAAAAGAAAAAACAGGGAAAAGAATTATGCAGCAAGGTTATTAAATTAAAAAGATAGAAAAGAAGAAATATGATGATGTTGGGGTATTATGAGGATTTAGGGATTTGTGGTATTCCTACGTAAGAAAAGAGTAAAAACTCCAGATAATTCCTGTGCAATTGGACAGTGAAAGTGGGACAGGTGAACTTTGCATCTGCACAAACATGTGCCTTGTGTAAATCTAAACACTTTGATAAAATTTAATTTGCATGCTTGGTTTGTCAGGGTTAGTAAAAAAGGGCTATTTTTTAAATGCATTTGTAGTAGTGAATGTTGAAAATGCAGACATGGAATTATATGCATTGGCAAGGCTGATGAT